TTAGCAGCAGCCAGGGTCTGGGTGTCTGTTCTCTTCCCCACGTGGGGCACTTTGTCCCCAGGACTCCCCTGTGTCAGACTTGGATCATAACTTTGCCAGGGCCAGGGTGATCTGTCCTGAGGGTGTACAGGGCGGGAGACAGCTGCTGGGTGCGCTCTCATGCGCGGACCACGGAGAGTGGAGTCACAAAGGTAGAGCCAGCCCACGGGGCATCGGAGCTGCCTGGTCCCCGGTCCCCACACTGCTAATCTACCTCAGCCTGCCCTGTGACCTCCGGTGATGTGTGACAGACAGAGACCACTGGGTGGCAGTGTGCGCTCGCCCAGGGCTGCGGAACATAGGGGTGAGGCGGAGGCTGCCACCCAGAAAGGTTGCGAGACCCCATCTCGGGAGGACTCGACCCGGCAGGGCTGAGTGTGTGTGCGCGCGCCCGCGCTGCCGCCAGAGGGCCAAGGACAGTGCTGAGGTATGGCGTGCGTGGGGCGGGCCTGAGGGGCAAAATATAAAGGAAACTGGGCAGCCAGAGCAGCGTGAGCATAAGGACGGAGGAGACGGCTGGAGGGGTGAGGGGTGAGGGCTGCCCGGACCTTCAGGGAAACGACTCCCCAGGAGAAAGAAAGAGCAAGACAGACACCAGGAAGAAAGAATCACGAAGAAACCAGGAACGGAAAAGGGGAAGATGCACGACTGCCTGGGGAAAGTAGGTCAGAAGGCCAGGGTGTGAGAAGGGAGCCCCAGAGGCTGGGGAGAGGCAGAACCTTCCCTGGGCAAGAAGGGGCCAGACTCAGGCTTGCTGCTGACGGGGAGTTTATTTGCACTGAAGTGCGGAGATGCAGGGGCTGCCCGGCTCCAGCTCAGGGCTGCTTCAGCTGCGGCTGCGGCTCCGGATCCTCTGTCTTGCCCTGAGGCTGAGGTGGGTGAGTCCCATGCTCTAAGGCAGAGAATCTTCTTGGTCGCCGCTGTGGGAAGACAGACACGGAGGGTAGGAGGAAGAGGAGGGGGAAGGGAAAGGGAATAAGCTATTCCTTCCCAGGCCCCTCCCTGCCCATATGGTCCCAGGCCTTCCCTCAGCCCCTCCTTTGGTTCCTTCAGGCACAAGGGGTCCCTGGAGTGCAGAGGCTCATGGAGAGTGGGCTCTGAGGGCAAGTTCAGGGGTCAACCTTGCTCATCTACCTGAGGAAGGGGTGCCAGACAGCACACCGAGGACTGGGGAGGGGGGCTCCCGGCTCACCCGTCTTCTCCAAAGGTGAAAGCTAAAGGCTCCAGTCACCAACACGAGGAGGAAGAGGATCCCAAGGATGAGGAGAGGAAGGTGGCCTGTTTCCCAGGCCCCCGGGGCTCTCTCGGAACGTTGGGCACCTACAGAGAGAGGTCAGGATTGCAAGAGCCATAGGGTCATGGCCGGAAGGACACCTTGCCATACCCCCACATGTTACCGACAATGAGACCCAGAGAGTTTAAGGGACTCGTCCAGGGTCACTCAGCTAATTATTGGCAGAAGTGGGTCAGGCCTAGACAGGAGCTGGAGGTCAGCTCCCTGACTGGAGAGAAAGAGCGAGCGTGGTGTGGGGAGGAGGTCTGGAAGTGGGATGGAGGTGACTGGTCTGGAGTTGGGGCTATGGCGCTGTGGGGTCTCGGACCTGGGCGGGACAGCTCAGCGAGATATACGGCGGTCCTGAGAAGCCTCTGCCCCTGGTACAGACGGCACTGCCAGGGCTGAGAAAGGAGCCTGGCCTCCGGCATCAGCAGCCAGGGGCCTGCGGAGGTCCTGCGAGACCGCTCGTCCAGGGGGCTCCACACAAAGTGTTCTTGTCCAGATGCCGGAGTCACCTCACAAAGCAGTTTTCTCAGGTTGCCAGGTGATCCATGGGATTTGGGAGTCACTGAAAAAATTAAAGGGAAGAGATCTTTTGGGGCCCCGACCCCCTTACATGAAAGCCTAGGCCCGACTCCCAAGTCTCAATTGCCTTGACTCACCTGGGCTCTGATTGGGTGAGGTGGAGGGGAGGAGATCAGGGTCATGGCCACATTAATCTTATCAAGACAAAGCTCTGGTCAGATCACTCTGCTGCCCCCAAACTTTCCAGGCTCCCTACTGCCTTCGGGGGACGGCCCGAAGGATCACGTGACAAATATTTCAGATTCCTTTCCATGACTTTCTACTCAAACGCTCAGAACCGCCCCCCCCATCGTTCAGGTGAGTTGGCCTCCCGGAGACCTTGCACTTTTCCTGCTTCCATGCTGTGGCTCACATCTGTGTCCCCCAAATGCATTCTAGCCCCATTTCTGAATGTCTAGAGAACAGATCAACCGATCTAGGGACAGAGCATCTCGAAGCTGTGCGGTGGGGATGGGCAGGAGGAGAAAATTGATGAATGACCTGGAGCTGAGCATGGTGTACAGGCCCCTGAAGGTTTGCTGGCACAGACACCTGAGTTTAGCCCCAAGTTTAGCACTTCCCAGCTCTGTGACTTCGGGAAGGTTCCTTCTCTGTAAAACAGGGACAACAATCTCTCTCCCATTGAGGTGTCATGCAGATAGCTTGGAAAACTGACCCGACAGTTGACCCTCAAGAAGACCTTGGACAGAAAGAACTGGTAGGCTGTGGTAACTGACTGGGAAGGAGGAAGTTGAGGATGAGTGGCGCACGAGTGGCTGACGGGAAGGTGACTTAGCAAGAGGATTGGGTGCGAGGAAAAGATGGGGCTCAGAGTGAGGCTGAGGTGTGGATACCGTATCTATGTAGAGATACCTGGGAAGCAGGTGGAAATCCAGCACTGGTCTTCAGGAGATGTGTTGTTGGCAGACTCATTTATTCATTCAACCAATACACATTATTAACTGCCTACTCTGTGGTGCTATTCAGTGGCATAAGTGAGTACGGCAGACACAACCAAGCGGTGATAGTTACCGATCAATCAACACATACCTTCTGAGTTTGTTTGGTTTTTTTTTCTATGTTTGTTTTATACTGTCTTGAAAAGCCCTCGCTCAGTAAATATTTGCTGACTAAGGGACGGATTTATTAATTCCTCCCCAATCCAGGCCACTTCCTGCAACTTTAACCCAGGCCCTGGCTCCAAAGTGGACACGGATTCTTGAACTATATTCCACTTCTCTTGAACCATTCAAATTTTGCCACCTCTCCTTCTAACTTCTCTGACCCTCCCCCCAATTCAGAGCAGGGGAGTCCCTTACGGAAGAGTGGAACATTCATCCAGTGACTCAGGGGAGGTTTTCAGTTTCTGTTCGTTATATGGGGGCGAGAAAACAGGAGGCCACAAGGGGCATCCCCCTGCAACTTGTGCCCAGTGGCCTGGCATCATGAGGCGGACTTGCCCAGTCTTTGCCCAGCTAGCCTTCCCTTCCTGTCCTTTCCCACATGGGGCTGACCTGTGATGACTGCCAAAGTGACAGTGGCACTGAGCTGCTGCCCCTGCAGGTGGATGCCACAGGTGTAGGTCCCAGCCTGGGCCTGGCCCACAGCCTCTAGTAGAAGGGTAAAATTGCCATGGTCTCCAGCCACCAGGAGGTCGGGGCCTCCCCCAGGAGGGGTCCATGTGGCAGTGAGGGAAGACTGGGTCTCCACACCCGGAGGCAGGTGGCAGGGCAGCTCCACCCTGGAACCAGCTCCAGCGTATACTGTCAGAGGGACTGGGGGCTCCAGGCCTGCAAAGAAAAGGGAACCCCAAGTTACAAAGGGGCTGGAGCGCTAGGTCTGCAGGGAAGGGAGGAGGAAGGGTGAAGGAGGTGGTCCAGCTCTGAAGAGTGCTAAGGAGCAGAATAAGGTGGATGAACTGTGGATGCTCAGAACCCCCGAATGTGCGTGGGCCAATAGGAGACCAAAGGGTGGCAAGTTAGGCTGGATGACCAAGGGAAAAGCTAGAAGGGAAAAGCCACTGAAAGACTGCAAAGAGAAAGAGAAAGGACTGGGACAGTGAGGCCCAGAGCAATCACAGGTGCCATCAGCTTGGTTTGGGGGCTCATAAGCCCAGGGGAGGTGACGGGGGGAAGGGGGGGCAGGAAGGGATTGTGGTCAAGTGTGAACGCAGACTGGAGGAGTTACCCAGAACAGTGAGGCTGTACGTGGTGGAGACGTTGAAGCCATCTCTGTAGGTGAGGGTGCAGCCCCAGGTCCCGGAGTCCAAGGGGCTGACATGGGGCAGGAAGAGGAAGTTTCCGGCTAAGAGGTGATGGGGGGACTCCTGAATGGGGACTCTGCCTGGGTCCCGGAACCAGTGCACAGAGGCCGGGAGATCAGGGCGGCTGAAGGAACAGTTCAAAATGACGGAACTGGAGGTCCACAGAGACCCGAGGGGGCTGGCAGTCACTGCGCAAGGACAGAGAAGGTTGATCAGGCCCACTTTCCCAACACATCGGGCCAGCTAAGCTGGAAGCTCCTGGAAACAGGCACCTGGCTGTAGATCTCTTTGTCTTCTCTCTCCCAACCGTCCTCCCACCCACCCAGCCCAGGGCCTGGCCCCTGGAGGTGCTTCAAATGCATACCCAAGAGTCCCCTGCCTACTTCCCCTGCCCCCTGCCTCCAGTTCACTGGGCTTGGTCTACGCTTCCCCTTCTCCAGGCCTTGCTTTAGGATCCCCACTAAGGCCACCCTGAGCTACAGACTACAGATATCTCAACGGAGTCACTCCAGCCCCGCGCTCCCCCATCGAAGGGGTGCATCCCCTCCTCCACCCTGGCACTCCCGCTGTGGGTCGGGGAAGGGGAGCTCGAGGGGTGATACGATCTGTCCACCGGGCCCTCCCTACACACACGTGCTTCTCCGGGGGCACCTTCCACCCCGCAGGCAGGCTCGCCGGCCCCTTCCGCCCCTCTGTTCGGGGCTCTCCGGCAGGGCCTGGGGCGCATCCTTAGAAGCACAGCCAGCCTCTGCGCAGCCCTTCCTGCCTCCGGGGCGGCGGGATATGGGGCGCCCTCCTCCTAGCCCCGCTCCCCCCTCCGTCCCCCCCGCCCCGCCACACCTACCCGCCGCCTGGCCCACGCGCAGACGGAGGCGGCAGGCGAGAGCGCGGTCCCCGAGGCGCAGAGCGGCGTGGTACTCGCCGGCGTCGGCGCGTCGGGCCGGGCGCAGCCACAGCGAGAAGTCCCCGCGCTGGAGGCCGCGCTCATCCAGCTGCACGCGGGGCTGCAGGGGCGGCCTCCCGACGCGCAGGCCTCCGGGAGCCAGCCTAAGCACCGTGTAGCGGCGGGGCCCCGGGCCCCGCGGGGAGAGCGCCGCGGGCTCACTGGGCGGGAGAGAGATGGGACTGAGAAATGCGAGGGGAAGAAACCCCGGGGAAGAGGCCGTCCAACCACACTTTGAGGATGAGGAAGCCCACCCAAAGGGAAGATCTCTGGACTGCTAACCGTCCCGTCCCCCGCTCCGGTTGGCCAGCACCATCCACTACCGGAGAGAGGCAGGCGTGCTGGGGGACGCAGGTGTGAGGGGGGCAGGCTGCGGAGGAAGGGCGGGGAGGGGGGCGGTGGGCGGCAGGGGAGGCTGAGCCACTGGCTTCAGAGGGACTGACAGCTCGGGGGGGAAAACACAGAGGGCTGGCTTGGGCCCGGGACTGGAAGTCTGCACGCCTTTACTGCTGGAGCTGGGGGTCTTGTTGCTGCAGTCTGGGGTGCCTACCTGTCTGGTAGATGCTGCCAAGTGACTTGTCTTGTTCGCAGAAGGCTGAGCTCCTGGAGGGGGATTGTGGGGCTGCAGGGGAGCTGGGCAGTAGCCCCCTCCTGGGCCCACACCACTGGGACCTCTGCCCCAGGGTCTGGAGCCTCCACTGGGGAGGAAAAGAGAGGCCAAGGGGAGGGGCCATGAGCCAAAAGACTTCAAAGCAGAGAAGGAGCCTCAGTGTTTTCTGAGGGAGAAACAGGGCTGAGGGAGACCTTGGGTTTCTGCCCCTTCCCTGCCAAGCGGGAGACCTAAGAGAGGCTTTGGGGGCTGAAGGACTGCCCCAAGAAAGGCGTTAGAAGAATCCACCCAATCTAAGGGCCTTGGCATCTGTGTGGTCATCGAGAAATCCCTCCTCACCCCCTACTGTGGGTCTGGAGGTCAACCCTCCCAGAGGGTGGTCCCCACCTTACCTGCAGCTGCCCACAGCAGTTGCAGAAGCAGCCAGACCGGGAACCGAGCCTCCCGCATCTCCTCTGAGCCCTGGGCCACACAGCCCTCCAAAGGGAAGAGGTCAGAAAGTGGGGAAGGACTGATGTTCAAAAGAGGGGTTCTGCAAAGAGGGTGTTGGAGAAAGAGAATCTAGAAAAAGAGGAATGGAGGCCTGGAGAGAGAGGGAGGAACCAACGACCAGGGGCTGGAATCTAGAGGAAAGCCCAGCAGATCGGGCAGCCGGAGGGTGCGGTCAGGGATGGGGTGGGGGTCCCGGGGGATGGGGCAGGGTGCTGGCAGAGAGCAGAGTGGAGGTAAGGTGGCTGTCTTGAGCTAGAGGCCCTTCTGCTGCTCCCAGGGCCCTGGCCCCTGTCCTTCTGTCTTCCCTCCACCTTTCGCACTTCCCCTCCCCGTTGCCCCCCCCCCAGCACCCCAGGGCTCACGGTTTCGCTTCGCAGTGGAAAGTCTGAGGGGGCTGATTCCCAGCAGCATTACCTCCACCCCTGTGATGGCGCTCCCCTTGTTTATTTCCTCAGTCCTGGGTGTCCCCACCACCCTCTCCACTCCTCCCCCACCCTCCTGACTGTTCTCTTTCCTGAGGAACTTCTGCCCTTCTCTTCTGCCTTGAACTACCCACTTGCCCATCTCTGAGCTGCCTCCCGAGGCCCCAGTCATACTTTCTTGGCAAGTTCTTTCCTTGGTACTCATCCCCTCCCTTATTCCCTTACCTTCCCAGAACTTCATTACCCTCGTCTACCTGTCTCCCCACCCATCCAATGACTCCCAGAAGCTCTGTTGTACCCTAAGAGATGGTAGGTCTGAAGAGGGGCACCCCACACACAGGGAGAAGAATAGCTACACTGTATTGTACCTTCATTATGTGCTGGGCATCGTAGTGGGCACTTTGTGTACAGTAACCCATGAAATCTAATATTATCCCCCATTGCACACATGAGGAAACTGAGGCAGGCTCAGAGATTAAAGGTCAGGTAGGGAGTGTGAAGACAAAAGCTGTGTGTGTGTGTGTGTGTGTGTGTGACCCTGACCCCGGGTGAGTTACAGGTGTCTTCTCATCTTTGGGGATGAATGGTATCAATGAATCACACACACCCCCTACAGCTCAGACCTCTGTGTAATCACCAGGCTCTCCCAATCCAGAGGCTCTGAACCAGGAGAGGGCAAGGGTGATACGGAAAAATGCAGACATCTTGCAGCAGGGATCCTGCCTCGGGAAAACCTGAGGCAGGACTAGGGAAGGAAGGCTGAGGCCAGAGGGGAACTCCTCCCCACGCCACCCAGCCTGCGGAGCCAGAACTTGCATTAGGCCTGGAGCCGCAAGAGGTCCTGGAGTTCTCCCTGCTTGATCAGGAAGGAGCTCACTGCTCAGTGCCAGGCAACTCTCACTCCATCCAAAGAGGCTGAGACCCAGGTCTCCTGCCCTCTCCCGCTTCAGGGGCGGGACTTCCTGTTTCGGAGGCTGTTTCTTTGCCTGGTTCAGCACAGTAGGGCTGGTAGCTCTCCACCGGGCTCAGCAGGGAAGGGTGTGTGTATGGCTGGGAGGAACATCCCCAAGAATCCAAAACCAAGACGCGAGTCAGCTCTCAAAGACACCGCCCCCCCCCACCCCGTCCACCCGGAGCGCTGCTGCTCTTGTCTTCTCCCGGGGTGGGTGGTAGGAGGGTGCCGCTGGCCCATTTTTTATAGAGGGGAGGGGTCCTGATAGAATGTGCCATTGGCCACCCTCCTCGCTCTGCCCGGGTAAGCAGGAGACAGGTTAAAAACAGAAGCGCGACCGTTTCTTTATTAAATTATACAAAAAGGGGAGGGGAGGGGGGCAGCTGTGGGGCTCGGCCCCAACCCTGTTCCCACCCCGGCCTGGCGCTGTCTGAGAGAAGGGGATCTGAGGGAGACCCAGGGATCAGGCAGGGTAGGGATGGGCAGGATGTGAGGCTGGGATGCAGAGGTTAGGAAGGAGAGGCTCCCAGAGGAGGGTGGGGTTGGCTGCGGGGATGGAGGAAAAGGAGGGAGAGGGAGGGGGCCACTGGGGACCAGCTGGGGAGCTCAGAGGGAGCAGGTCAGGAGGTGGAAGACGGCAGTGAGGATGGAGGGGGCAGCGTGTGGAGGGGCGGCATGAGAAGGCTGGGGAGAGGGAGGGCGGCAGCTCTGGCGCGGGGCCCAGAGCAGGGAACCAGGTGAAGAGCGGCTGTGCTCGGCTGTCCCTACCCTCACCTCCAGGCCCCCGAGGGGCCTCCCACCCCCAGCCCACTGGCGCGGGGCTCATGCCGACGCCCCATTTTCTGTCTTCTGCCGCTTGGGATCCGCTTCATCCTGTGGAGAGGGAAAGAGCTGCGGTAGCCGTCACCTGGGAGAGGGACCGCCCTCTGTGCTGCTCCAGCTCCAGCCCCCGCCCTGCACCACCGGGATCTAGGTCCAAATCCAAAGGGCTCCCGGCCCTGCTGCATCCCTGACAGCCCCTCAGCCCACAACCCAGCCCAAACCTCCTCTTCGGCAGCTCTCTTCAGCGCGGGCCCTTCGTCCTCATCTTCTTCTTCTTCCTCATCTGAGGAGCCAGAAATGGGTCATTGGGGAAGGGCTGGAAGCTCCAGCAGAGACCCCCTGTGGCGGCCCTCAGCCCTGCTTCAGCTCTTCAAACCCACCCTGACGGTTCCTCTGAGCCCAGCCTTCCCTGCCCCTCCCCACCTTCCTCGTCTCCTTCATCCTCCTCCTCGCCGTCCTCGGCGGTCTCTTCTTCCTCCTCAGCTCCGTTCTCCTCCTCCTGCGGACAGGAGAGGGAGGTGTCAGGATGGCCCTGTGCCTCCACCCACCGTCCCCGCCAAGGGTAAGGGGCCTGAGGGCGGGGTGGCGAGGATGGGAGGGGTCGGGGAAAGGCGGGGCCCCAGGAAGGGAGCTGGGGGCACGGTGGGCAGGTGACCCCTCCGCACCTCCACCACTTCTTTCTTTCGCTCTTTCCGGCTTGCCTTCTCCTCCACCTTCTCTTTCTTCTCCTTTAGGTCCTGCAAGAGAGAGACAGGTCACCTTCCTCTCACCACAAACGATCTGCAGCCCTTAAGTCCCTCCAGGCCCGGTTCTCCCTCTGCAGTGACTTTAGAGGAGTGGGAGATGGAGAAAGTGGGCGGTGCAGCTTAGAGACTGAACAGAGGTCCTAGGGTCCTCACAGCCACAGAGGGGCTGAGACCAGACACCTTCCCCAAGACTCGAGGGAGGAGAAAAGTGATGAAGCCCGGGAAGAGGCAGCCAAGGTAAGCGCTCATCACCCCCACCAAGTTCTGCCCAACCTCACCGGCTGAAGAGTTCAGCTCAGCAAAGCAAATCCCCTCCATCTGCTCGCAGCCCTGATGCCCCACCCCCTCTGGAGGTCCCTCCTTCGCCTGCCCCCTCCCTCTGCCGGCCCTGCTCTGCCTTTTGTCTACCTCTGGGGCCTTTTCCTGAGTACTCTCTCCTGGGCATCCCTCCCAGCTTCCCTCTCAGCTGCGAAAGCCTTTGTTTCTGCCTTTGTGCCCCCCTAATCCTCAGGCTCGTACCTGGCCCAACGCTACAGGAATAGGAAGAGACCCTTTAGCACGACTCCCGGTGCCCCCTCTCACTTCTGCCCACTCCTGCCCCCAGGCAGTGCAGGTGGCTTCCTCCTCCTGACCACCCATGGTGCGTGCACCAGCACGGTGTGGGCCCTGGTGTGGTGTGTGCACTGGTGTGGCAGAAGGGTAGGAGTCACCGTTGCCAGGGGGGATGTAGGGGAAGTAGGGTAAGGGAAACGTGGAAGGGAAAGACTCTGGGACCTGGCAGACGAAGAGACAGACAAGGTCTGTGTGGGCGGGATGGGAAAGTAGAGGGGAAGGTCCCTGTGTAGAGTCCCCTCCCTCCACACGGCCCCTCTGTCCTTCCCAAGACTCCAGCAGGCACACCTTTGATGTCTTGTCCTGATGTGATGTGGCCCAGGGAGGTGCTCACAAGAGTCCCCTCTCTCGGGACACCACACCGGCCCTTCCAATTGAGATTCCAGTCCTCTCTCTACCCCACCCCTTGGCAGGCACTGTGGTGTCTCTGTGTGATCGGATCGGATCTGGTGTTGGTGTGCAACTCTGTGTATCCGATTCCATGGGGATGGAAGTTTTCTGGGTGAGTAGATCACCCTGGGAGGGTGTGTCCTTTCTGGAACAGGGTTGGGACAGGAGAGAGGTTTGGTGCTGGGTGGTTGGCCTGGAGGGACGCTCAATTCCCTTCTCCCTTTATGGGGAGCGCAAAACGCTTGCCCCTCTCACTCCAGCTAGGTTTCTTCATGCCACTTCGCTGTCCTCATTTCTCTGCCACATGGTCGGTATGGCATTTCTACTACCTGGTGGGCTTTCCCCTACATCCTGGGCCTGGAGAGCCAGGGGATCGTCAGCTTCTCTCTGGGGGCCCCAGCACCAGGTCTGCACGGCCCTGGCCTGAGTTTCTCATCGGGGCTGATGGAGGAAAGGAGAGTGAGTGCCAGGGAGGGAGGGAGTCTACCAGAGGCCAAAGTCCAAGGGGCCGGGCCCTCTCCTCCCCTGTCTGGTCCTGTCCTTCTGGTCACTGTCCTTCCATGATCCCTTTTCCAGGAGGGTATGTGACCTAGGTCTTGTGCTAGGCAGCTCTCTGGCCTCATTTACTCAACATGGGCACACACACTGACACAGGCTGACACTGATTCACACGCACAGCTACAGAGGGGCGCCCACGCGATCCGGAGACACATGGCCCGGTGTTTGGGCATGCTGGCATACACTCTTGAGACAGCACAAGTGCCGAGCCACTCGGCACTCACAAAGCAGCCACACGGTTCCAGAACAGCTACGTCTCCACACGCACACATGTAACTGACACGGGCAGTCCCACACACTCGCTGGATTTCAGACATACAAAGACACCTACTCAGTGAAGTCACATGCCACCGCACAGCCCACCGGAGGGCCGCTCAGCACACCTTGTCAGATCTCACACGGAGTCCCTGTCTCCCACTGCCTCGAATCCCATTGGTTCCCCCTTTCACTTCACCGGCCTCCAGGAGACCTCTGTGACCTCCTCAGCAATCACCCCCCCACCCAAGGTCGGGCTCCCAGCCCCCAAACCCTGGCCGAATTAATTTCCCCAAGCGACACTCAGCAGGTTCCCTAGGGAAATTAGAGAAAGGCTGGAAGAGAGGCAAGGCCGAAGGGATGGGGCCAGGGAGGGAGCTGACGGGAGCAAGGGCAGCGCGATGCAATGCCATGCAATGCTGGGCCCCAGGTTTTTCGAAGGCTGTTCCCGACCCCCTTCTGGTTTTTAGGAATTCAAGATTCTTTAAGCGTGGGGGGAGACGCTGGAGAAGGGCTATGCAGACTAAGAGAGCTGAAGGCCAGTGGACGAAGGAGTGGATTCAGATGGAAGGAAAGGAGGGAAGGAGAAAACAGACAGAGGCAGTAGCTGTCGGAGGAGAGAAGCAAGAGTCGGTTGGGCCTCGAGGGGAGGGGCCGAGAGGAACAGCCTCCCTGGAGAGTCCTGTTTACACCGGAGGCTCTCAAACCGCTTAGCGGAGGAAAGGTGAGGTCAGACTGGAAGGGAAGACAGGGGACGGGGCGCCGGAGAGGGGCGCGGGGGAGGGGGCAGGGTAGATAAGACGCGCAGAGCTCCGACGGTCACCGGCCGGGGTGGAGGCGCGCGAGCCGGGGCCGGAGAGGGGTGGGGACGGCGCGGGGCCGGAGCGGCCAGGCCGGGAGCCGGGCGCACGGCTCTCGGGAAGCTAGAGGGCGCTGGCGCGAGCCGCGCGGAGCGGGGCAGGCAGCGCCAGGCTGGGGCGCGGGGGGAGGGCGGAGCGGGGTCCACCGGGACCCTGCACCCGGGCAAGCAGTTTGCGGCCGTCGGGGGCGACCTGGGGCGCACGACTGCGCGGAGCCCGGGGGGCGTGCGGAGGCCGGGCCGCCGCCGGCCCCGCCCGTACCTTGGCGCTCAACTCGGCCGCTGCCTCCACGCTCTTCTCCGACATGGTGCCGGGGCCGGGGCCGGGGCTGGCGGGGAGTCGGGGTCCCGGGGCCGGGACGGAAGGGCCCTGGACGGCGGAGGGTGGCCGCGGCCGGAACCTGGCGCGGTGGCGGCGGCGGCGGCGACAGCGGCAGCGGCGGCCGCTCGGCAAGCTGGGGCTCAGGAAGAGGCGGCAGAGGCGCGCGGGGTGGGGCGGGGGTGGGTCTGGAGCGGAGACCCGCAGGGCTGCGGCCGTCCGGAGGGCGGGCGGAAGGGCGGTGCGGGCGGTGGCCGGCGCGCTCCGGCCGCGGTCGCTCGGTCCTCGGCTCGCCGCCCCCACACCCGCAGAGCTGCCGCCGACCAGCCGCTGCCGCCCCCGGCCAGGGAACCCGCTTATAAAGCGGCGCTGCCCGACGGGAGGGGCTTCCCAGGGGTGGGGCAGGCGGGAGCGGGGAGGAGAAGAGAGGGGAGGAGGATGAAAGCGGAGGTTGGAGAGGTGGGGATAGGAGGATGAAAGCGAGGGGAGGGAGCGCGCGAGAGGCGAGAGGGAGGACTACACCAGGAGGGGGAAATGGAGAGACTACGGTCGCGGCGAGAGGAGTGGGGCGAGGAGGTGGGAAGGGGTGGGGTTCCTGCGGGGAGGTACCTCTCCGAATCCCGACCTACTGCCGGCGAATGTGGAGTGTGTCTTTTGGGGGCGGGCTGGAGGGATGGCCTGGATCCTACAGACACCCCACCAATAGCCTCGAGATTTTTGCCAAGGGGTGGGGTGGGGGGGAAGCAGATGGAAAGGCCGGGCAGGTATTAGAGAAACCAAAAGCTTAAAGAGGAGGAAGAGGGCGGAAGCTACTTCCACATCTCGCTGGATTTCCCCTCTCCTGCGGCATCTACGTTCCCTGGGTGGCCTTGGGAGGGGTTGAGAGAGCAGAAAGGGCCGCCCACCCTTCGTCCTGCCCTAGGCTGACTTTTGTGACCCCTGCTGGGTTCCTCCCTTCCGGGCTCTCGCTTGTGATCTGAGGGGAGTCAGAGGCCTTCCAATCTCCTTTCCCCTTTTCCATCTTCGACCCTTCTTCTTTGCCCATCCCACCTCACTTTTCTTTGCCTGGTCCTTCTATCTTCACCCCTCCTCATCCATTTCTGTCTCACAACTCTCTTCTTCTGTCGCCCCTTCTCCACTTCTCACTTGCCCTCTTCTACCTTCCATCTCTCCACTTCTCACTTGCCCTCTTCTACCGTCCATCTCTGCCTTCCCTCTCTCTCCAGACAACACTGTTCTTGTCTCATCTGAGTCTGTCACCCGGCCCTATATCCTTAGCTGATTTTCCTCAACTCCTCTTCATGTCCTTATTACCCACATTTTCCCTCTCTTGGTCTTTCTCTTTCCTCTGCTGCCATCTTCCCCAGCCTTCCTGGATGATATCTGCTTCCTTTGCAGGGGGTTCCAGCCCACACTGTTCCACACACCCTCAGCTCCTCTCCTTCAGTCTCAGTATCTTTGGGTCATTTTGAGAAGCTTGGGGTTTCAGGAGGGGACAAGAGGCCTGGGGTGTGTAGCAAAGGTCAGGAAGGTGGATGGGATGGAAGGCTAGGGTTTGGAAAAATGTATCTTTGGTGTATGTGCACTCCTGTATTTGTCTATCATTAGTCTTCATCTTTTTATCATTTTCATTTTCTTTATAAAAAAAAGACATAACTGACCAATCATCACCATTTAGTCTTTCAGTGCTTAAATACCCCATCTTTTGGTCCCTTGGTGTCCACACCTCCTAATTTCTCTTTCGACTCTTCTATCAGTTTCTCAGTCTCTGTCTCCTCAGAAATCTTGGAGCCCCACCCAGGTTTCTCCTTGCCGACTTCTGTCCATCTTTCTCTGAGATCTTTCCATCTCTGTCTCTGTTTCTCTTGACATACTCGCTGATGTCTTTAGCGATCTCTGACCCTCTCTATCTCTGTACTCTCTTGCTTCATTTATCTCCCTCTCCCCCCTCCTCCCCCTTCCCCCCCCCCAGTCTCCCTGTCTCGCTCCCTCCCCGTCAGTCTCTTTCCTCTCCCTCCCACCCTCCTTTCCTCTTCCCCCCTTCTCCACCTAGCAGCCCCGCCTGCTGTCTCGGACACCCTGCTGGGCTCTTACCCTGTTGCCCTGGTAACCGCCCCCCACTCCGGTCATCTCCACTCCCCTCCCCCCCTCCAATCACCGCCACCAACAACCTCCATCCACCTTCCTCCTATTTTTCCTGAGAGCCAATAGAAACTCTGTTGCCAGGTGGAATGCTCATTTGAATCAGCCAATCCAGGAGCCTAACTGCTTGCCCTGCCTTATATGGGGATTTGAGGAGGGCCACTCCCCCCACTCCAGCCCCACAGGGGACCAGCCCCTCCACTGTCCTTTATCCCCGCCCTGGAGAGAGCCTAGGACCCTCCCTCTCACCCTTTTATAAGGGTCTGGCTTCCCATTTCCCTAACTGGGACCACCGGGGTTAGTGTGGGCTGTGGGTTGGACTGTGGGCTGGGCCTGAGGGCCGGGGGTGGGAATGAGGTGTGATTAGGGAAGGGGAGGCGGAGGGAGCCGGGAATTTTGCCCAGGGAGGGGTGTCTGGGAGCGGAGGCAGCTGCAGTGGAAAATTCCAGGGAGATGGAGAGGCAGAGAATGGGAATCCTGCCCCAAGGCCCAAGGGAGAGCCTTGAGAATCTAAGAGTTTGGACACTAGGGTCCGCAGGGACCAAAGGAAAAAGTGGGAAGCAGGAGGCCTGGATCTAATTCCTTCCTGCATGGGAGAAGCACCCCTTAGCCCTCGCTCTCTGGTTGGACAACACATGTCTCCTGAAGTCTTGGCTTCCTAAGAAGAAAGCTACACACTTAGGATGAATTTGGAAGGAGTGGGATGCTGAAAGCCCACCCCCTATTCCTTGGGGTTGGTCTCTGGGCCTCTGGGGCCAAGAGTGTTAAATGATGCCAGCCTGTGTTTACTACTTTCCAAAGAATGATTTCTGAGGCCTTGTGGAAGCTTGCCTATTCCTAGAGTTCTTTTAGTTCGCAATTCAACGGAGAATTTTCCACTGGTTGAATGGGGAAACCTGTGCCTTCTTACACATTTTCTGGAGGTGGGAAAAGGAAGGCCAGGTGAGAATAGGGGAGGCCCGAGCCCCCTGGAAACTTCTGACATCCCAGCAATTCCCTCACTACTCTGTAGAAGGTGTTCAACTCTATAACCATTTCCATCTCATTCTAAAGTGAATTCTTCCCCCTCTTCAGCTTCCTGGGTTTTTTCAGTTTGCCTCTTTATCTGATAGGTTAAGTGCTAAGGAAGGCGTTGTTAGCTATCATTCAAGGATGGGAGGACAGAAACCTGAAAGTTGGGCCTCTCCACTCCTCACTGTATTCTTCATCCCATTCCACTCCCAATGACCTCGTTTGCTATTCCTCATTTTTCCTTTGCTTTAAAAAAAAAAAATCCTTTCAAAACTCAAGACAGTAGAGAGTTGAGAGGAGATGGATTCCTAGACTTAGTTAGGCTGGACTCTGTCCAACAAAATTTTCTGTGATGACGGGAATGGTCTATACCTGCAGTTTCCAATACAGTGGCCACAAGCCACGTGTAGTCACTGAATACTTGAAATGTGGCTAGTGCAACTGAGGAACTGTGTTTTTTACTTTAATTTTAATGAAATTTATTTATTTATTTTTTGGCTGCGTTGGGTCTTCGTTGCTGGGTGCGGGCTACTCTTCCTTACGGTGTGTGGGCTTCTTATGGCGGTGGCTTCTCTTGTAGAGCATGGGCTCTAGGCACGCGGGCTTCAGTAGTTGTGGCGCATGGGCTCAGTAGCTCATGGCATGTGGGATCTTCCAGGACCAGGGATCAAACCTTTGTCCCCTGCATTGGCAGGTGGATTCTGTGCCACCTGTGCCACCAGGGAAGTCCCTTATTTATTTATTTTAAATAGAAGTCTACCTCATCCTTTTTTATTTTATTTTTTTTCTGTCATGCTGCACGGCCTGTGGGATCTTAGTTCCCTGACCAGGGATTGAACCCAAGCCACAGCAGTGAGAACGCTGAGTCCTAACCACTGGACTGCCAGGGAATTCCCAATTTTAATTCAATTTAAATAACCCTAGTGGCTACCATATTGGACGGCACCACTTCAGACCTTGGCCCTAAACTGCCTTTTCTTTTTCTATCTCGTCTCTTGTCTCCATCCCCAGTGTTCTGTACATGGAAAGTCAAAAGCAATTCTGGCTGCCGTGTTGGAAGGTCACCTGGGCCACTGTTGTCATGTACTTTACCACAGGTGCATGATTGCTCAGGATTTCCACATTTTCACAGATGAAACAGACAATGTGGCTGACCCAGAGTAGAGGAAAGTGAAAGTGAAAAGGCTAGGGGAGATGGTACCAGGAGTGACAGCTAGAGGCTTATTCTGCCCAGAAGGTAAAAGGCCGAGGGAGGACTTAATAATCTGGAGGAGGTTATTCAGTCAACGGTGCCAACTGAACCCATGCAGGTGGCTCAGGTCTCAGGGGTCCTGTTCTCACTCAGTCTCCCTAAGCGACTCCATCACGCACCTCCAATGGTACAAGTCCCACTGCCAACGCATACCTCAAACGCTGATGACTCTCAAACCCATATCTCCAGCGCCAGC